AATTTCTTTAGATTCTCTGTTTGTGTGGACACTTACTGTGAACTTGTAAAAGTGAGCTCTTTTTTCATGTATTACACAACTCTTGATTCCTTTCCAATGCCACGTACACACTGTGGAGCTTCTTCAATATGACCTGGGACCTTTTGTTTATTTGAAGGCAGGATTTGTCAGTTAAATAACAATTCTGCTCTTCCTTGTAGATTACTGGATTTTATTAGTCACTTTAGACCTAGGTGATCTAGTGGTTTTGAAAATTGCCTTGGTGCAATGTGGCTCTCAATGTGGAGTAGTTGTTGGTGTTTACTCAAATAACACCCCTGTTGAAATGTAGAGAGTGAGTAAAAAAAAAACTGAACTCCAGGAACTTGCTGGCATGGATGTTATGACTACATAGCAGATAGCTTGTGACTTGGACATCTGCCACCTCTGCCAACATGAGTGAAGAAAAGAATGCCCTGTTCCATAGAATCAGATTGAGTCCAGTTTTGCTTTTGTCCCTTATTCTTCATCATTCATCTAAGATGCTTCTGATTTAGTAAGAGTTTGAGAGTGTTTTCCCATGTCTTTCCTGATTAATCAGTGTTTTTATTTATGTTACACTCTGGTGTTTTTTCTGTGTTGTCTGTAGTCTAAATTATATATGTTGGTCCCTTTGAACTCTACTAGTAAAAGTTCCCTTGATTTTTTTTTTTTAATTTAGTAATAGTATCTTGTTTATTCCTTGAAGAATAACTGTTTTACTGTTCTTGATGTTTACAACAGGTTTACATGCTATGCTGTAAATTAAAAAATAATTTTAAGTTAAACTTAAAAATCCCTATAGTATTATTTGGATTTAATGGTGAAAATCATTCCAGGAGTCAGAAAGGAGCACTGCAGAGTTAACAACACAATGCACTGTTTTGCGCAAAGTGTTGTGGGAGTCTGGGACAAGATGCTGAAACCATGTTGTTTCTTACAAGATGGATGAAATCCTTGAATCATGTATCTGCTAAAAACCACATGAGCCAGGTAGGCCAAATGGCCTTCTGTGATTTGCAGACCTGTTTCTTCTTATCTTCATTGTTAAAAAGGAGATTGGGTTACCTGTAAACAGTATTACAGTCCCTGATACTGTATTTTGTAATTGTCTAAATTAGTCTGATTTATTTTTGTGGCTCTTAGGAAGAATGCCAAAATCAGCAAAGCTGATGCACAATAATATGTTGTTATTGCTTCCTCATTAAAGATAAAAGATGGATCCCTTGCCAGGGACCTAATGAAGGTAATAGTCCTGCAGGGGAGGGATCCTCTTTCGTGTCTGGAGTTAATTTTTATTTTGGAGTTTTTTTTAAAACTGATTAAAAGGAATTTCAAAACTACCAATCGAGGGGAAAGCTATGTTTTTCTTCAGTGCTTATATTTGAGACTAATTCCTTCTTTTCCTCAGTGTTTCAAACTGGCATGGTTGGCTATCCGGAAGCACTGACAGATCCGTCTTACAAATCTCAAATTCTCACTCTCACATACCCGCTGGTTGGCAACTATGGCATTCCGAAGGATGAAGAGGAAGACTCTGGCCTCAGCAAGGTATGTGGAGAATCTGGAACGCTCAAGCTAACATCTGCTAATCAATGAATAGCACATATTTTCTAATATGACTGTTCAGTAACTGACATAAGCATACTTCGTCTTTATGTGTCAGAATTGAATTTAAAAAATAAATCTTTCAGTGGGACCATTTGTGGCGCTGTCAGGTTTACTTAGTTGCTGATCTCTGGTGAACTTGTCAAGTAAGATTCTGTTCCTTACCTTTGTTATAGAGCAGTTCTAAACTGCTCTTTTCATATCTTAATTGCAATAACCGTGTTTTCTTGGTGTTTAACCTACAGTGGTTTGAGTCTTCTAAAATCCATGTTGCTGCCCTTATTGTTGGGGAGGTTTCCTGGAACCCAAGTCACTGGAGCTCTGCTATGTCTCTGGACCAATGGTTGAAAGAGCAAGGAATTCCTGGGCTTGAAGGTACGTTGACCCCGAAGTAGCAGACTTTACAGAAACATTTTGGTTATTTGTTACTTGTAATACATCAATCTGCTGGTTAAAACCTAAAACAATAGACAGTTTGACTTCTGATTTAATAATGGTAATTAGTACCACAGGCTGGAAACATGAGGTCCCTGTGAGGCCTCTGAAGTCTGGTATACATGTTGTAACCTGTTCACTCAGGTTAAGATGATTATTCTAAAGTCTCCTTCTGTATGCAATTTGACATACAAATGAGGAAAACGGAGGTAAATGCCATCAAGGATTTTCAGTGGTATAGGGAAAGTTAGTAGACAGAATGCAGGTTATTCCCAGAAATCTGGTCATCAAGTTGGTGCGCAGTGTTGGCAAATCAGGTTTAAACTAAATGAGTTAGATGGGCGGAGTGGACCACTTTTATTTGTGAACTTTGTTATAAATGTGACACCGGGACCAGGTATTTTTTCCTATTGACACCAGAAGTTTTTCTTATGTAAGTCCTACAAGGAAAAAAAGGTCTATTAAAGATTTATCATCCTTTATAATTTTGGGCTTTTATCTAGACTGACTGTTACAGTTCGTTTTGGGCGACTAAACTGCACCTTTCAATCTTCTTTCTTTGAAACACTTAAACTCTGATTTTGTTTACTGTTCATATCCAGAAATGGTGCATTAACAAAGCAATAAATATTAATAAAAATGCCCAAGATAAGAGATTCTGTTCTCCAGAAAGTCTTCTTTGAATATGTAAATTCTTGTGTATGCTTTTATTTGCTGCAGGAGTGGACACCAGGTGTCTGACCAAAAAGATTCGTGAGAACGGGACCATGCTGGGGAAGCTTGTGTTGGAGGGATCACCAGTTGAGAACATTCCATTTGACAACCCGGACACAAGGAACCTCGTCAAAGAAGTCTCTATGAAGGCAATTGCATTTTTTTGAAGTAATTACCAAGAAGTTGGCAAATCAGGTTGACTAGTGACAGGCTGGTCCCAAGGGACAGGTGGGAGTGATGGTGATGGAGGCTCATTGTGGTACAAATATTTAAAGAGGATATCGTCACTAGCTATATTTTCTTAGGATAAAGCAATATCTTAGTTTAAAACTACTAAACATCTTTAGTCTTCAGCAAAGGTGCCTATGGGGGACTTGTTTGATGTATTTAAAAGTGTGGAAGACAATGATGAGGTCAACCCAGAGGCCTACTTGAGTATCACTCTGGAAATTAAGACCAGTGCATTTGGGACAGGAAACATCACACAGGATCGTAGGGATCTGGAAAATTATGAATGTTCTTGTTGCTGAAGAGTCACTAGGAGCCTTCAGTAAGTTGCTGGATGATGTTCTTCAATTAACAAGAAGTTAGTAAATCGAGAAAGATGGACCAGATTGTGTCGTCACGGCATGACTTTGAGTTGTACTTAAAGTCCGAAGTATAGAGGGTGAAGAGGAATGGAGAAAGAACTGTCCCTTGAGGTGCCACTGTGTTACTCACTACCTGTTCAGACACACAGTTCTGAAGTCTCACAGACTATGGTCTGCCTGTCAGGTAGTCAGTGATCCATGAGGTCATGAAGGCCTTTACTTGCATCTCCTCCAGCTTCCTCCTTAGAAGTAAGGGCTGGATGGTATTGAAGGCACTGGAGAAGTTGAAAAACATGATCCTTACAGTGTTGTCAGCCCTGTCCAGGTGTGAGTAGGCCCTTTGCAGCATGTAGATGATCGCATCCTCCACACCAACATTGGGCTGGTAGGCGAACTGTAGGGTGTCCAGTGATGAGCTGACCAGGGGTCTCAGGTGGGATAAGACCACCCTCTCCAGTGTCTTCATGACGTGAGAAGTCAGTGCAACTGGTCTGTAGTCGTTGAGGACAGAGGGGCGCCCTTTCTTTGGTACCGGGACCAGGCATGATGTCTTCCAGAGCATCGGGACTCTCTCCAAGCGCAGGCTCAGGTTGAACAGTCGCTGGAGCACTCCGCTCAGCTGATCAGCACAGGCCCTCAGAACTCTGGGACAGATGTTATCTGGTCCTGTGGCCTTACCCTGGTGCAGCCTCTTCAGCTCCTTCTTCACCTGGTCAGCCGTGATGGTCGGCCTGGCCTGGGGGATGGTGCTCTTCGTGCTTTCAGTGCTGCAGGTGTTAATGGTGGAGGTGTTGGAGAGTGGCAGCTGTGGGGGATGGGTGGGTGAGTAGCTGTCGGGGGTTGTAGCTGTAGGCGGCCATGTTTGTGGGGGGATGGAGGAGGTGTTGGGCAGTCGCAGATGTGAAGGGTAAGGGAGTGTGTGGCTGTGGGGGGATGGGTGTTGAGCCACAGAGGACCCAGAATCAAACCTGTATTACGTACATGGAGAACATGAAGTTCTGAAAACTGTACTGTGAAGTAGTGAAATTTGGTGCAAATAAAAAATGGGACCTTTCAGAATGTTCTTGTGGACATTGAAGAGCTTTGTGTTGGTCTTTTCACACGTGACGACTTGCTCACTACCTTTGGACATGGAGCTGATGAAGTGTGCTCTGGTCTGTGCTGTCAGTCTGAGGATTCATGAAGAACATGTATTACGTTTGTTTTTTCTAACTTTATAAACATTCATATTAATAATCTTAAGCATTATCTGAAGTAGTCCCACTCAAGACTTACTCTTGAGCATTGACATATTAACTACTTTTCAAACAGTTTTTTTTTCAAACAGACACTGTTGAATTATTCCCCTTTGTTTATTCCAGTTAATTATTTTTGTGTTGAGTACTTAAACATTTTAACTTCTGATTTTAAGGATTATTTTTTTTCCTTTTCTCGGTCTCCATAATTAGCCTTGTATGTGAACGGGTTCTTAAGTTCACGTTTTGTTTCCCACTTTGTATCTCAAGACGTTAGTTATTTGTTGACTGTTTTTGCTCCCTTGTCAACAGGAGCCCAAGGTGTTCAACCCCACTGGCGATGTCAGGATCACTGCGGTGGACTGTGGCATTAAGCACAATCAGATCCGCTGCCTGTGTCAAAGGGGGGCCTGTGTGACGGTGGTGCCCTGGGACTACCCATTGGACAGCAAAGGTCATTGAAGTCTTGACCAATCTGTATCCTATCCTGTCGTGCTTCATTAAATGACATTCTCCATTGGGGCTGTTCCATTGCCAGCATTGTTGATTGAGTGAAGGGCTCTTAGTGTTCCTTTGCACTCATTGCACTCCAGTGTGTTTATTGGTATATACTGTATTCCATCCTGCTTTTTCACAGGGACTGCATTCATCCATCAAATTCTGGCTTGTCTTTATAGGGAAGTTTCTTTTCTTGTTTTAAAGCCAGATATGCTTTGTAGGCAAACAGATGATTTTCTGTAGTGTCACTGGATTTCCTAATATGCTTGGCACTAATGCCTTTTTATATGTTTCTCATGAATCCTGTCTTGAACTTTGATACTTGCTATCCTGACAGTCGATAAGGGACACAGTATGAGGCTGTACTAGTGGTGCAGTTTAAATTCTGTTTCATAAGCAGAATCTGCTACTGTTCGATAGGAAGAGAGTAATGCGAATGTCACATTGGAACATCTTGGAAGCCTTTGGCAGTTTATTTGAATACACTGTGGCTTATTAAAAAGTTGTGGCAGGATACTTCCAGGTTAACCTGGTGTCCATTAAGCTCTGACAGCATCCTTCAAAATCATTTTGAATTTTCAGGAAGGTAGTTGAATGTCAGGAATATATAGTTATTTTAATGTACAGTATTAGCATGTTTATCTTTTACTTTTATTTGTCTACCAGTTAGTTAGAAGTTACCGATGATAGGCTGTGAAACAAGAAATCAAATGTACTTTTTAATAGTTATTTGCATTGAAAATTACAGTTTTAACACATTTATGTGCAGAACAGAATTGGGAACAGCAATCAACAGTTTTGTTATCAGAAAAACCTTTATACTCCGTTGAAGATATTTACTCTGAATTGTATTTAAAATAACCTGCTAAAGCATTAATAAAAGAACTACATATTATGAATAATAAACTAGTGTTACATATTGAATATTCTCACTGAAAGCAGTGTCTAGATTAGTTGCTATTCTGCCAGAGCTGTTTCACCCTATCAAAACATCCTTTTCACTTTTCCCCGCAGACTTTGATGGTTTGTTCCTCAGTAATGGTCCTGGAGATCCAGTGTTTTGCAAAGAGACGATTGAGAATGTGAAGAAGGTTGTGTTTCAAGGGAATCCCAAGCCTGTGTTTGGAATCTGTCTGGGCCACCAGATCCTGTCTCTTGTCATTGGAGCCAAGACCTACAAAATGAAGTGAGTTTCTACTTTTGTAACCCTTTTTATGGAGTAAATATTACCAATAGCAACAGGCTGTCAGGGTGGTAGGGGTGTGCTGAATGACTAAATATATGAACACGTGTTCTTATTGATTTATATACAAGTAATTTGAGTAATATTCTCTCTCCTGTACTGGTCTAGTTGTTTTGCTTGTCTTTTGGACTTGACCTAAATGGGAAGAGAGAACTCAGTTAAGAATATATGTTTTTCTTTTTTTTGACTTGGAAAGTGCCTCTTTGGTTAGTTTATAACTGGACAAAAATATGCATCATGGTTCATGAGGTAGTTAACGTACAAGTAGGGGACAAAAAATGGAAATGCCTGAGTAATTGAAGGGGAGTATCTTGAAAACAAAGGCTTCCACACTGGTGTGGAAAGTGACATCCCAGCTTGCTGGAAATGCTGGTTGCCTATAAGTTTGGCTAGCATAAGAGCTCCTCAGGAAAGAGAAACATTGGGCAGAAGACCATGCTCCAAGATCAGTAATGAGGAGGGCAGCTCAAGAAAGAAATGGACAGGAATAAACCTACCCAGATGTAACACTGCAGGAAATTTTGCTATGGGTATTTTAAATACCAATACAAAACTCCTGCTTTATCAGTTTTAATTTAACTATGAAAGAGTGCTACTGTTGCCAAAGCTGGTATCTAAAGTAGAGAACTGTGGACTGACATGGTGCCTGTCAGGTGGGTATCTGAAGTAGGGATGCACCGATATGGGATTTCTGGGCCGATAACAATAACCAATAATTTACAGCTTGTTGTGGCCGATACAGATTCCAATAACCGATAACGTTGACTTTTATACATTTTAAAACAAATTCAGACTATAATCCACCATTGATGTGTAATGAGTTTGTAAGAAACCTGAAACTCTGTAAAGCTTAGCGTACTCATCTGACTAAAGTCCATATGTCTGTTCTGAAGCTAATATCTCTGACCTTAGCTTTGATCAGGTTGTGTATGTGTGTGGGAACAACAGAGAAGTGGCGGCTTGGGGGAGTGTAACGGGGTTCCAAATGCTCAATTAGTTGACGGAATCCTTGATCCTCCACAATCGAAAAGGGTTGGTCATCAAGTGCTATAAACGCTATGATTTTGTCTGTGATGGCTTTAGCCTTCAGACTGTCCTTGGCAAATGTTCTGTAATTTTCAAATGCCTGTTGGATAGGCATCGCTGCACTTGCTCCCGTTTCTGTTTTCTTGCTAATGCTAGCTGCCTCATGTTCTTTAAGTAAATCATTGGAATGACGGGTTTTCCATTGACTAATTGGAGTATTAGGAGAGAAACTCATTACTTTGTTTCCTCTTGCTGTTCTTTGGCTGAACGTTTGTTGCAAATTGCAATTCTGTTGTCCTCTGCTAAAATGGTGAAAAAGTTTCACCGACATTTTCACTCTGCAGCTCATGTACTGTACCCACTCTAGCGCGTCAGTGCATGCACATAAAAAAAGCTAGTTGAGCAGACAAAAATAGGGTGCCGCATTATCGGTTGTAATTATCGTCTGTAATTCCAATATCAGAAAGATAATAGGAAAATATAATCATTTATCAGAGAACAATATATCGGCCTCCAATACATTGTGCACCCCTAATCTGATGATATCAAGCCCTCGACACCTATGGGCCTCCCCTTCCTTTAAATCAGGTATTGTGGTTAAATTGAGTAGAACTGCTGATCACAGCACGTCTGTTACTAGTCTCTTGTTTTTCATTGAATCTTGGCATAGTTTTTTTCACTCAAGGTCATATAATTCTCCTCTCCCTATAAAACAGACGTCTAATTCACCAGAGTTCTTTCTGGAACTTATTTTTTCAGTATCGAAAGACAGTAAAGTGTATTTATATAGATATACTTAGCAAAATTAAGAAAAAAAGTGACCAAAAGAGAATGTTTAGTTTACCTCAAATAACACATTACTTTTTCCAGCTCAGTAACATACTGCATACCCATTTTCAGTTATACATGCAAGAGCATCAGAGTTTACAACCAAGAAGCAATGCTGTTTTTTTGTTTAAACTTGCAGTTGGCAGCAAGGAACAGAAGGAAATGGGGCATTGCCAGTATTATATAACCCCTTGTTTTGGCCAAATGTCGCAGCCTGTAGGTCAGTCGGGCGCACAGTAGATCCATAAAGTATCAGCAAAGACTGATAGAGGGGGTAGTAACACTGATAAGCAAGCAGGTGCTGTGGAAGAAGAATTTTCATAACTAGCATTGTTTAGGCTACAGGAGGAACACGCATGAGTGGTACAGTACCATGGAGGTTAGCTTGGCTGCCTTATAGTCTTTGTGTACTGCTGGGTTTTATTTGAGCATGTGAATACCTCTGTGTGGAGTTTGAATCTTTTCCATATGAAGTTTCTGATCTTTTGAATTACCCCAAAAGAGACAGAAGGGGGCTCTATTACCTAGGGAAAGACCAGTGAAGTTCTACTGTAAGCTGTGTTAGGTTTTCCATTTGAATGAGTGCAGGGATGAACATGCTTTATCTAATAAAGACTAAGGCAAAAATGCATGTACAATGCGAGATCATTTGGACAAACTAATTTAAACAGTTCATGGCTGGTTCTTAGATTTGTTAATTTGTAGGTCTGGTTTTGGTTATCCATTTTCCTTTTGGTAAAGAGGTTCCTCTAAAAAAATCTGTAGGCCATCGTACATAAGAATATGACTCTGCATTCTGGAATGGTTACATATAAGAGGATTACATTTTGCCCATCTAGCTCGGTTGGTAGTTAATAGTTGATTGATCCAAGATTCACATCCTGATTTTTCTTGAAAGAAGCCAAGATATCAACTTCGATAACAAGGTTAGGTAGCTTGTTTCATACTCCCACAATCCTTTATGTAAAGAAGTATTTCAGTATTCTGTAAAAGTCTGCTGGGCTGGCCTTTTTACTGCCTTTGAGGCTTTTGAATAGTTTTAACAGGCCCCGTCAGTCTTATCAAGACTAAAAACATTCAGTTCCTTCAGCATTTAAGCAAGGAATATTCTCATATACTGAAGAAAATATTGCTGCTCTAGAATCAAAGAGCAACCAAATATATTTTCTGTAATATGGTGACCCAAATTGTACACAATATTCTAAATGAGGCCTTATTTGTACATTATACGATCTCTTGATTAAAACTTGACTAAATATGCCAACATTGATTTTTTTCTTTCCCACGTTGTCTAAAAGTTGTGAACATGTCGGTGAAATCACTTAAGACCTAAGCTCTCTTTCCTATCTATTTATAATGTTACTTCCTGTATATAAAAACTCTCCACTTTACATTAAACGTCATCTGCCAGGCGTTGGCCAAGTCTTTTGCTTCTGTAGTGTTTGCTAATTGTTCTGTATTAGTTTACTAACCATACCCCAACCACATTCCAGTTGTGCTTTGCCATCATTTAAGGTTTTAGTTCATTATAAACCTGTGTTCTGTGTGTTGTGCTCAGGTATGGGAATCGTGGACACAACCAGCCATGCATTCATGAAGACACGCAGCGCTGTTTCATCACCTCTCAGAACCATGGCTTTGCGGTGGATCCCAGAACTCTTCCGCAGGACTGGTCTGTGCTCTTCACCAACGCCAATGACCACAGCAGTGAGGGGATCATTCACAACTCCAAGCCCTTCTTCAGGTAGCAATGGTTCCACTCTGTTGGTTCTTCAGTGTGTCTGTCCTGAATGCTTTATGGTTTCCCCGTTATTGATTTCTTGAAGCAAATCGTATTTTTTGTAGTTATAAATGGGTGGTGCCATGGTTAGCATCTGCCTTGCAGCGCTGGGGCCCTGGGTTCAATTCCTGGGTGCTGTCTATGTGCAGTTTGTATGTTCCGGGTGCTCTGGTTTCCTCCTACAGTCCAAAAACACAGTGGTTCATTGCCTTCTGTAAAAATTGGCCCTGGTGTAAATGTGTGCATGTTTGTATCTGAATGTGACCCGTCCATGGTCTGTCCTGCCTTGTCTCCGTTGTTTGCTGACTAACGCTTCAGCTTCCCCTGCAACCCTGTACTGGATAAGCGGATTAGAGAATAGATGGGAGGACAGATATTTAAGCTCTTAAAGTGACAAAAAACTTGCCCCATATTGAATAATTGCATTCTCACAATGCATACAATTCGGCAGCACAGCATGGTCCAATCTTATTTTAGAAATTTAGAAAATTTAAGAAAAAAGCTATCTGCTGTTAATTGCTGCTTTTTTATTTCGATTTGAGACCTTTTCCAGAAACTGAAAAAAATGAAATTACCCATACATAAGGCTTTTTTGTGTGAAATGTACCATACCTCCCTGATTTATGACTCTGACAACATGACTTTTTAGTTGACATAAACAAGATACAGTAGTTTTATTACACAGAGTAGAAGTCTTCCCTAGTCGGTATGGTATTTTGTTTCAATACATTAATTGATTTGCACCTAGTATCACTCATTCCTTTGTTTCTGGGGTAGTGGTGGTATCATTTGGGGTTTGACATGCATTCCTGCTGTCCTGAATCTTGGAAAGACTCTTCATATCCAACCAGAAATACTCTTCCCCCGTCAGGTCCCAGCTGCTCATTTACTGCCTATAAGACACCCATCTGGGATCTTCCAATAACATTGTTGCACCTTTGTCCATCACTTCTGGGGCATGCTATTGTGCAAGATGACATTATGCTATATGTCATGTTCTTCCCCCATTAGCTTGTAGCCTGTTTGAGATAATCACAAGACAGTTTGGCAACTCCTTTATCCTGCTGCAAAAGCAAATGGAATTTCCTTATCGCCTAGTCCCCTTAGTCTTTGGAAAGAAATAGAACATTATTATAATCCAAGTTATATCTACATAATATGTAAAATATTTAACCCAGAGAAATATTTTCTTACTTTAGACCAAATTCTTCACTTTTTTCCCCATTTTCAGACTTATGTTTTCATTAGCCTTTTCCTTCCTAAAATCTCAGTGATATTCTACTGTTCCACATTCATCAGTGCATGCAACTTGTGACCAGTTATCTACAGTCTGCTTTGTCATCTGTTCACACAGAGAAGGTACACTCATGCGTTTACCACAGTATCTCTTGTCCTGCTACAGGTTCTTCGTCTTCCCTCTTTGGCTTTGTTCACACCTTTCCCTTTTTTCCAAAATTAGAGTTGTAACTGCATTTAGAGTTGTAAAATACCGGGTGCTTGCGTCTATTTGATTTTTAACTATTCTTCATTTTTCTTTTTTTAACAAAAACAGTGTCCAGTTCCACCCAGAGCACATGGCTGGCCCAACAGACCTGGTCAACCTCTTTGATGTGTTTTTAGGCACAGTACGAGACTTCAAGCAGGGGAAGAACTCGATAACAGGTGAAATATAGAAAGTTTTAGCCCTGACCATACATTTTCCTTCTATTGTTTGCCTGTCTAGATGTTGTCAGGTCAAGCTGTCCTTTCTTATTTTGCAATGTGTTTCTCATGCAGAGATCAGTTTTCAGCTGGCACCTTGTTTGAGACCAGCCCAGTTGTTTTACATGATTATTAAGGGCACACCTTTCAGAAGAATTTGACCTGATTTTTGAAGTAGTTTAATAGCAACAGAGCCAAACTGAGCACTGACACTTTACCAACTAAGGCGTTTGGTTTTAAAATGACATTGGCAGAGAAACCATTTCCTGCATTAGCCATGTGTTTTCAAACTACATTCTTTAAAAGGTCACCAGGGCAAAGTATTATATTGAGCAACTTGGACATTTACCTGGCCTTTGCAAACAATCACTTGGCCCATATTTGTTCTGATTAATATTAGTCCTAGATATGAAATTCCGCAACGCAGAATAGTTTAGGAGTTCAATAGATAGATCTTTTCTTGATTGTTCGTTTTATATGTCAGGTGAGGATCAGGAGTTTTAACTTGTCATTGTTTTCATAGGCTGCATCATTGTAGTTTGTACTGTTTTTTTAAGTATTTTTACATATTGAGCATGATGTTTAATTGTTATTAAATTTGATGGTTGTATGGCAACTGAGCCACAAACCTGTTTTTTATATATATTTGCTTCTACTTCTTACATTCATCGTTTTTTAAATAAAATGTATTATAAATGTGACGGTATTATAACTTTTTGCCTCTCTAATTTCCTGACTCGTTTTGATGATCATGCAGCTGCAATACAAATTGGATAGAATGTATAGAATATATTTCCATCTTTCTTTCACACAGTTAAACAGAGGCTTACTGAACATCTTACCTATCCGAAGGCCCCAAAACCAGAGGACATTGTCCGCCCACGAAAGGTCCTTATTCTGGGCTCAGGTGGTCTGTCGATTGGACAAGCAGGAGAGTTTGATTACTCTGGATCTCAGGTATGTTATTCTGCTTGAAAATGTATTTTTTACAGCCTTATTTCTAGAGTGTTATAATACAGTAGGTCATTTAGGGCCCCTTAAAATCAGCCTTTAGACCAATTTAGACTTGGTAAGGTAGTAAATTTGTCAATGGGCATTTGTACTATAAACAGTATCTTTTAGGTGAGTGAAAGAACTCTTATACAGGTGCAGCCATTCAAAGTTCGTGGTACAAACCCGCGGTACGTACCGTGGTATGTGATTGGCTGGCCAAAATGACCGACAGGGGCACTCGTGGTGCATTAGTCGGTAGTGAAAAGATTGAATCATTTAATCTCTTTACTGCTCACATTTTAATCCGCTTAGTATTGAATATTTATATGGAATTTTACCACTAAAGGGAAATTTTAGTAGTTAAGCATAAAAAGCAGAGGAGCATAACGCATGTGAAGGTCATAAACAAAATTAATTTAGGAACATAAACATATTATGTAAACTGTATGTTACTGGTATTGGTATTTTAAAGAAAAAATACACACCAATATTCCATTTCTCCCTAAACATTTTAAGCATCAAAGTCTTACATGTGGTTGACCTTCTGACCATATTAATCTATCTGTATTGCTGGTTCAGTGCGTGTCACATGACTTGCCTTGGGTGGCGTAACGGCTTAAGTCACCAATTTACAGTATTAGCGTGAGGGCGGGTGTTCAAATCCAGCAATCGCTATGAGTTTTCTTTTAACAGAAACATTTCTTTGAAAAACTAAAATTGCAAATATTATGGACACTACAGTATATTGAGATTTTTAAATTTCAAAATATTTTTCCGGTTCTGGTCGAGAGGGAACGCTGGCATGTTTGGCTGCTGCTCCTCTCACCAGTTTTTCATTTTTATCTACTTATTTATGTTTTTTTTCCTTTCTCTTCTCGGTGACATTGATTTCTAATTTATCTATTTTCATCCGCTTTGCGTTATCCGCTTCACTCAAAACCACTTGCTACCGCCTTCTCTGGATTTCCTTCCCGTCTTGATTCTTGATCGTGTCTCTGAGGTGCACTGCAACTTCTTCAACTAAAACAAAGCGACTTCCTGGTAAAAGACACATTCGATTATTGCCTTTTTACGATTATTTTACAATTTTACGACCGTTTTTTTTGTTCATCTGCCAGTGGAGTCTCTATCCCTGCCTTTCGGCGCACGACTGTAAGTCCATCACGTACCGGCGCCGACCTCAAAAATCTCCTCTCACTACCGCACCTGGAGCACACTACGCTTCCCCCTAATCCCCGAGACTGGCCAGATCAGCGCTATTCAATACCTGCTCCATAAACAAGGCTCTTCTCTTATGTGACATCATCAAAGAAAGAAAACTGGACCCTCTGTGCTTAACTGAAACCTGGCACAAACAAAACGATGGACTCCTCCCTCTTCTTTTGAGTGTGTTGTTTTAAATGTTTCTATCCCCCAATCTACTATTATTGCCACAGTTTATAGACCACCCAAACCCAGTGGAGCCTTCTTAGGTGATTTTGCTGATTTTCTCTCATTCTTATGCCTTAAGTTTAAAAGGATCCTTATTCTAGGGGACTTTAATATACACTGATTCAACCTCTTCCTGTCTGGCTAAAGACTTCCTTTCTCTTTTGGGATGCTTTGACCTTACTCAGTTTGTTTGTACCCCTAAACATAACAAAGGACACACCTTAGATTTAATTATTGCAAATGGCTCCTTTGTCTCCCACCGCTCTCCCCTTGATCTAGGCATCTCTGACCACTTAGCCATCTCTTCAATCTGGAATTACCAGTTTCTAACACCTCCCCCCGAAGCTCTGTAAATTTCCGCAACTGGCGATCAATTGATCACCCAAGGTTTGCAAATTCTGTTCTGTCCTCCTTATCCTGTTTCTCTTCCTCTGACCCTCTAGAGGACAAAATACAGTTACTTGACAGTGCTCTTTTATCTACCCTTGACACCTTTGCTCCTTTAAAAACTTGAACCATCTCTTTCTCTCGCCCTGCCCCCTGGTACAATGACCACCTGCGATCCATGAAGGCAGCCTCTCACGAACTTGAGCGTAGGTGGCATGTTTCCGGCCTAAATGTACATTATCAGGCTTGAGAGATTACTTATCTGAATATAAGGTTACTATAGAGTATGCTTGATCCACCTACTTCTCTCACATCATTGAAAATCACCAAAACAACCCCAGACATCTTTTCTCCACCATCAACAGACTGCTCAAGCCAAACTGCCCTACCACATTACCTGCCTCATCACAAC